GAGTTATTGATTACTGCCGCTCCAACCTACACCACGCCATGCCATGCCAAGCCACGCCACACCACACCCCGTTACAACGCGTGTGTTGGGCGTGGTGCTGCCAACATGACCACTCAGAGGTCGCGTCACAACCACATTGTCGCCAAAATCACCCGACAAATCGGACCACCCGACTCACCTACGCCACCCTCTCGTCACCCCAAACCGCCCCCACGTAGACCTACACTTCCCTCACGCTGCGACCAGGAAATCGCCTCACCTCTCTGCCTCCTTGAAGACAAGAGGCACAATCCAGTGACTGACTTACTTGAGCGTCCACGAACCAGCTCCAGTCGACAGTCGGCTGCCTCCGATGAGACTTGGCTCACTTCCAGTGTCTCCGTAGCGTCAAGGAACACAGTGGACACAATGACACCTCTTCCTTGTGCCTCCACTATATCACAATGCAACACCAATTACGTGCCACACCAGGCCACTGCATCCACCGATCCCACGGAGATTGACAAATGCACTGAGTTGGAGGCCATGAAACAAGGCCTGGCACGCATTCAGGCTGGTCATGGACGTCCCTCCGACTTCCTACCCGAACACCAGTGTACCAACGTTGATCCCTACATAAGACGCACTCTCGACGAGATTCGTCGCAGCATCAATGAGATCTCCACTGACGCGGCACTGCAACAGGAAGTGCAGCAGTTACGAGATAGTGTGAAGAGATTGAGTCTGTGCCAGGCTACTGCAGGCACCACATCCAACAAGTCGGAGTCGCAACTCGCAGGTCTGCTGCAGGATATTCGCCAGAGCCTCCGAGCTGCTCCGTGCGAAGCAGCTCAGTGTGACATCGCCAGTCGAGAGTGTGGTATCATGCAGGTGCTTGAGGAGATCCGTCAAAGTGTGCACGAACTGCAAGCGGTCGTGGATGAGGATAACGTGGAGCCACAACCCGTGGTCGATACAATGTGCGAAAACTCCGCTGTCATGCACGTTCTCGACGATATTCGCCAAAGTCTGCACATTCTGCGGGAAGGCGTGAGCAGTGTGGAACAGGATAACACCAATGAATGTGAGGACGGCGCCATTATGGAGGCACTCAAAGAGATTCGACAGAGTGTCAATACCCTTGTCCGTGGTATGGAGGCAGAGAGGGTGGAGGGCGTGGAGGGGGCGGAGGAGGAGCATGAGGATGAGATTCTGGAGGCATTGACCGAAATCAGGAACAGTGTGCGAGCACTAGCAGGTGAAGAAGGGGAGGAAGGTGCTGACGACTACAAGGATGATGGAGACAAGCGCAAAGGTGATGCAGCCATGGAGATGGCCGTCTGTGCAATGGTCCAAAGCATGGAGGAGCTGCAAAAGACGGTGGAGAAGATATCGGAGCAACTGTTAGGCAGCATGAGTGAAAGAAAGTCGCAGTGTGAGAAGAAGGAGAAGGCAAGAAAACGGAAGAAAACGAAATGTGAAAAGTCGAAGTCGCTCTCGGATAGCGAGATAGATGAAGATGATATTGTCCGATGCATCAAAGAGTGCTGCCAAGATTCTTCTCAGTCTGACTGCATCTGCGAGAAGATAATAAAATATCTAGTAAACCAAAAGACTGCGGCCCCGTATATATACTACTTGGTGCCACCGGTCACTCAGCCACCCACCTTCGTTGCCCCTCTCTGTAGGCCGCCACGTCCAATGCCTCCACCACCAACAATGCCATTGGCTTTGCCACCACCTCCAATGACGAATTGTCCTCAGAGCTGCGGAGGATCCGCCCTGCCACAAGCCACTCAACATCCACAGCATCCACCATTCGCTCCCCCAAGCAATTTGTGTGGAGCAGTGTCAATGGGTGCACCACGGTTCTGTCCTCCCTTCTCTCCGCCCATTAGCTGTCCACAGTATCACTTTGAGCAGCCTCCACCAATGACAGGCCTCAATGCCCCACAGCAGCCTGCTCCACAGTCTGTACCATCGATATTCAATCAGTGCTCGAACTATGTGCCGCAGTCAGCCTGTCATCAACCCGAAATCAATCCTCCTGCTCCCAGTTTGAGTACTTGCAATCGGAATTTCGCATCACCGCCTCCGCAGCAGCAGCAGCAGCAGCCGCAACCCTCACGCCACTCCTCACTAACATCAAGACCAAATTTTGGGCAGGACCAGCCGGTTGTATTCAATGCTACTGTCAACGACCAGCCTCTAGCTTTTACGCTTACCTTCGCCGGCACAACTGATACTTCCACCGGTGCTGGTGCCAAGTCCAACTCTCATCCAAACTTCTCAAATCGTACATTTTTGTGCACACAAGTTGAGCAATGATTCTTTGCGTTAATAAAAATCCTGGTACAATCCTCGCTTTCACCACCATTATTCGCTAAGTAGCATTTTCCAAAGAAATTAACAATGATCGGTGTCACTGTGTCCATAGAATAGCTTCATTTATATCTGCATGGTTAAATTTCCATTTCCGTTTATGCTTGCCCCCTTTGGACTTACCTCGTATCACCAAATTGAGCGATAAATCTCGTGAGCTTTCCCTTTGCCAAATCAACACTTGACAGATTCATGCAATGTGCGTGTTCAAAAAATGGATCACATCCATTTCAAATGGCTATTTTACATAATGTTGACGAAAAAGCACTACTTATTTGTCATATGAGTTACCGTTTCGGGGAGGGGGGTTACAGTGTCTAAGTTCACATTTTGCACAAATCTTTATCACGTCCGGAAAAGTCAAATAAACCACTCAATTTTATGCTGAAAGTACCCTAGATGATATTATTATCGGTGAGCAAAAATTGCCCAATGTGACCCTATTTAGGATCACATCCACCGTTCGGACGCCTGTACACTGATCGTGCCGACGGCTTAAAACAGTCACACGGTGACTCATGCATGGCTGGACAGTTAAGGCACGGTCATGACTCAGTCAAGTCCGCATATTAGGCATGCACACTTACACTTACTCCCCCTAGACAAGTCACTACATCTTCTTTTACATCTAACTGTGGAAAGCGTCACAATGACCTCAAGTTAATTGAGTTCAGCAAGCCAACACGGGCGCATTCTAATTTAATAAAGGTCAGCAATAATTTAGTCTAAAAAGAAGTTTTTCAAACTTCAAAGTTGGTTGGAGCCCTGCAATCCTTTCCGTTAAATAAGTATCACGTAGGAGGCGAATTCAGTGTTCATCTACTTACGATAACAGGGAGACAGGCTCAAACCCATTATAATTTCAGCTACACAAAAACCAACAGTACATCGTCTCTAGGTGGCATACGCAGTCGACAGTTTGACTAGCTGAAGCATACCCAGTTCGAAGGCCTCTAAGTAACCCCTGACAGGGTGGCATTTCACGAGCATCAAGTAAAGTGCATAATATTAATGCGATAAATGTAAGAAAGTGTTCTCAATCTTATTCCTAAACTGGTGGAAAACGGAATTGCAAAAAAATGGATTGAGAGCTATTTACAATTGGTGGGTGCTTGTTGTTGATTAGTCGACTCACACAAAGCCGCCTCAGCTAGAATGCCAGAAGGGGGGAAACGAATTGCGCGCCTACCTCAGTAAACCCAAGATTATCAACATTAGCTTGCTGTAAAGCGACCAACAAGCCTATAATAGCAGTTTAAACTGATACCATAAAGCATGCACGGGGGAAGATCGCAACTTGGTGGTGGGAAGTTTTGGCTTCCTTGATCAAAAAACGGAATATTAGCAATTAAAGAAAGATAATTCATGCAAAACAGCATTGGGTCTCCCGAGGTGATTTCGCCGTCGCTTCACAATATGCCCGATTTTTGGAGAATCTTGGCGTCTTAGCAGGGTCTGCATTCTTCACAGGGCTATCATCTTTCGCATCTTGGAGTTGGTAATTTCCACGGTTGAAACAGAAGTGCTCAAATATTTGGATAATGGAAAGTTTTTTTTAAGGAACTGTTAGAAATCAAACACTCAGCTGCATTCGCATGACTTTCGGGCGAAGCGCCAAATAGGAGTCAGTTATGCAACAACTTTGTAGAGATTTCAAAAAGGGAGAGACCTTTGATAGCAAATCTGGCAATGGGATCCGTGTAAGTTCATCTAACTGAATGCTCTTCTCCACGGTTGGGCTCACTAAATGCTTTAGAAAAATGAGGGCGTCATTTTACCACTAAGAAAGGAAAGTGATAAGCATTTCTGGTCATGGACGCTGTCTCGACAGCAGCAAGTGTTTCAGATTGAACTCAGAGTAGGTGACTTTTTGCCCTGATTAACTTCAGACACGTGCTTTTTGACATATTTAGGCGATACTTCAAAAAATCTTTCAGTTTTCCCTCCAGAAGTAAAACAGTTGCTTCGATTCCGATGGCGACGACTTAATCTGCACCATCTACTACAGCTACCTTCTCTTCTAAAACATGAGCGCGGTTCTCTCTTCCCCCCGTTTTCAAGGCCAATTGTTTTCCTAGCCTCCCTCAAAAGCGTGTTATATTGCGGATCCGATTCCAAGGTCGTCTCAATGTGGTTAAAGGTTTCCAGGATCTTCAAGATCGCGCACTTCTGCAATGTGAAGCCCTCTGTCTCCAATTCTTTCATAAGATCTTGCAGTTCGGCCAAAATTTGTGCCAATAATGAATCGGGTGCCTGTGTACAAGCGGTAGTCGGTTCAGTGGGCTTGAATTTGACCTCATTATAACACCGATTTGGAGCGGTAAAATATTCTTCAGTCGCCACAAGGCAATCCATCTTCTCTCCGTTGCCTCCAGGAGGCACTTTTCCTGCATCGCTTGGGCATGGGCCTCCGATTTCTCTGTTTTGTTCTGTTGTGCCGTGACAGCTCTGTAACTTTTCAGTGGATGCCGCTCTTTTTCTTACATATGAGGGTTCTGACTTGCATACGTGTTTTTCCTCCACCTTTGAAGTACCACAGGTTGCAGTCACCATCTTTACAGTCTCGCATGGAATTGTCTCGCAATCCTCTCCACCATTCATAAACAGTTCTTCAATAACTTTTGGTTCTGACTTGCACAAGGAATTCCCCTCTTTATGCGATTTAGCATCAACTGCAATTTTCGCTTCATTTTTTTTGCACACATTTTCGCACCTCACTTCCCCTTTCCGACATGTTGCATCATTTGTCAGTGCTTTCGATTTGCATTTGGGTTTTTCCTCCAGTACCAAATTGGCTCCAACAATCGTAACTACTTCTATCATTTCGCGAATACAGATTGTCAAAATTGAATTGCCCTCACCCTGTTGACAGAGCTCATTCTCAAGTCTTTTCAAAAGATCTTCCACATCTTTCAGAGCAGACGATTCAGTGCGTTCTGACTGCAGTTCATCGGTCAAAATATTTAGAAGAAAACATATTTTTGACTGTGGATCATAATCAGCTATCTGCAAATCTGGTCTCATGTCTAAAATTACGTTTTGAAGGTTTCCTATCAAAATTGACATCCTTGATGACACCGCAAATTGTGACTGTTGTAACACATTGGCTTTTTCTGCATGCATAATCGCCTTAGTCTCTGATGACGGGTCCGTCAACATTGGTGGATTTTGGTCTCCAAACGTGTCCAGAACCTTCTCCATATCCCTCAAAACGGAGAGTATTTTTCTGTTGGTCTCTTCAGGCGTTAGATCGGAGTGCTTGTGGATGAGCGATTTTATTCTCCCTCGTATGTTTTCAATTGATAAGGAATATGTCGTAGTTTGGTTCGTTTGGCTGTACGGGGAGTCACGTTCAACGGTTTCCTGCCTTAGAGATCTATTTGATTCGTTGTATCTTTCATTTTCAGCATCAAAATCATTGCATATATCTTGAAAAAAGTGTCTTGATGGTTCACAACTGGATGCTTTGAAATATGAAGCAAATTCTTGCTGAGTATCAAAGCTTGGCATTTCATTGGAGGCAATAAAATCTCCCGATTGTTCATATATTTGCAATAATTCAACGATTCCATGAATTTCCTCCAGCATGGCGAGCGCCTTTTCCTTTATTCCGTCCTCAAGCGGCTGTATTTCACCATAAAGCTCACATATCACTCTCTTGATTCTCCCATTTAAGGTTTCTCTTGGCCTGAGCTCTATTGGACATTCTAGAAAATTTGTCCTAGATCTCCATGTCTTCTGAATCGGCGTGACCCTCTGGGGTTTACTTCGATTAATTTTCGCGCTTGTATGATTCATTAAATCAATGTGTTTAACTTTTTCAAGGAAAGACGATGAAGCCGTGCTCATGCATGATGATGGACTATTAACTGCCCCATTTTGCTCCAGATAACTGACATTCTTATTTGCCCCGAAGGCTTGTGGTATCGAATCGTGCTTCACCATATCTTTTAAAAAGTTGACCGTCTCCAGAGCTCTGGGACATACACCTTTGCAAGGAAGATGGTGATCGGAAGTAAAAACATCATGTAAATTTTGCAGGATCTGAAGCATCCTATCAAGGAGATCCTCCTGAACGTCTTCAGACTTTACGGAACTGTTGAGTGATACCGTTGATCCACTCGCATTTTCCAATGGTCGAGACTCATCGAGGTCAGATTCTAAAACCCCCTCTGCTTGATCCCTCATGCTTCTAGCAAATTTATCGGAAGACTTCGAGGTCCCCTGCTCATGTGTTTCGGCCTTTGATGAAAAGTGCGGATATTCCAAACACGTTGCATAAGGTTTCAAAACATTATCATCTGATGTCTTCAGTCTCTCCTGTTCATTCACCACAATTGGGTTGACATATCCTGTTAGGCTTTCCTTATCGATGACACGTGCATCTTTATTTGTATCTTTTGTGGGTTTCGGAAAATCAACGCTCTCGGGGATTTGAAATGTTGCTGAACATTCGAAACCATGAGATAAGGTCACATCTCCTGAGTAAAGTCCATCGGTGGCGTTAGTTAATGTTTTCCTAGTAGTCAAACCAGAATGTGGACAAACAGCCGAAGGCAGTGAGGAACGAATTTCTTTACCAAGTTTCTTTACACTGGATTTCACCTCCCCAATCTCTTTTATTAATAATATTTTGGTATCCGGTGCGGACCAAGGCAACTCGGAACTTTGATTTGAAGTTGTAGACAACGGGGATGGATATCTGAACTGTGAATTGTCATCATACACATCCTTCCAAACCACCGTTTCATCGTTTAGAGGTTTACCTTTTGAACAGAATGAGCGGGTTATTTCGTTTACGCTCTGTTTCAGTTCACTTAGTGCTGTTTTGATGGATTCGTCATCTACATCATACCCATCATTTTGAAATTTTGGGCAGCTCATCGTGTCGATACCTTTGCGAGCAAACTCTGCCGGTTGGGATGCAAGGTTTGATTTTGTTAAAGGAGTTGTGTGGACCACAGACTGAGTAGTAGGCGCCTTTTCCAGCAGTTTTTCTCTTAGGCTGCACAATTTACGATACTGCGAGTCTATATCAACTGATCCTACCATCAGTTCGGCGTATATTTGTTCTGTGGGGTGCGAACAGTTTCCATGTTGCATCTTCGAGTCTTCGTTAATCACATGAATGGAATCGCTTCTACCAGAATTCAATAATATTTTATCTTGAACTCGTAATTCACGCACGTTATTTCCATCCCAGTGACGAGAGTCAAAGTTATGGTCGACGTTTTTGTTTCCTGAAGAAGTCAGAGCTTCATCTTTCAGGGATTGTTCTTCAAAGCACGCATCGCCACCGAATAAAGCCGTCCCATCGTCAAGACTTTGTAAATCACTTATTGCATCGGTCTCAGAAGCTGGCCTTTGAGCATCAAGAGGAGCGTATTTTTCCGAGGGTATAAGTATTTTTATTGGGCTAGAATGCCCTCCCATTGTGACCCCGGAGCCGCCCATCAGGTTGGATTTAAGACGATGTCGTGGAAATATCGATCAGAACGCAAAAATCATGTGATAGGAGGGGAATCGCCCCGGTTACTCCCTTGTACATTGTGAATTATTGCATAGGAAATCACTGATTTCCTAAAGACAAATCCCTAAGAACTCTAAATTATAAGTAAAAATTAATTTACCTTTACTACGAGAGCATATTACCATTCGGGTAATGACGCTGCTAATATTTCAAAATATACTTGTTCCAAATTAAGCCAAAATGCAAAGGAATTTGTTATTAAGTATTGCTACTTTCCATTTCGCAAATTCCATTCTTCAAAAAAGCTTTATAAGTAATAGCCTAACCGTCAAAAAATATTTTCACCCTTTTTATTTAAAAACTAGTGTCATTTGGTATAAAAATGGTAAAGCTACCATGAATAATTGGGGCATTTTGCACTAAGAATTTAGACAAGTTCAGAATCAGGTAATAGTCTAAATGATTTGATTACTTTTGGAGTTTCAGTATGAAAATGAACGAAATTTAAAACACGTCATATAATGTTCTGGAAACAGAAGAGAAAATTTATTGCAGAGAAACGCAGTCATCATTAAAGGCCAAGTACTATTTCACAAGGACGTCATATCAAAAATGTGGGCAGAGTTTTATGTAGTAATGACAACCACCAATACAAGTGGTGGCACCCATCACTCCACATTC